TGTGTATACGCTAGCTCTTGGGATGGTCATGGATAGTTACTTAGTCATTTTCTTAGAACTTAAGACTCAGTTCATTGCTAACTCCGCCGAAATTTCATTTGAAGAGTCCTCAGCCTCCATCAAGATAAAGTCTTCTTAAGGGACCCAGGCTTAATTGTTTAACACTGGGCTGTTACTGGGATTACCATGTCTGTCTCTAAGGAAATTCTCAGCAGACACAAATGCTGGGAAACAAATTATAAGTAAAAACTGAATTGAATTCTTGACTGTTTTAAATTGTCTCAAAGTTTGGCCGTCTCTTGCAGCCACAATTGATTTCAAATGCAGATTAAACAAATTCTTTGGGATTAGATAGCTTAAAGCTAGCCCTGGTAGTGTAGTGGGTTACATGTTGAACTGCTCATCATAGGTCAGTAGTTTGAAACCATCAACTGCTCCTCGGGAGAAATAAGAGGCTTTCTACTCCCATAAGTAGTTACTGTCTTGGAAACCCACGGGGTAATTCTATCCTGCCCTCTGGGGTTGCTATGAGCCAGAATTGATGGCAGTGGGTTTGGTTTGCTTTTGAATGTCTAACGGCTCTCAATAGAGATTACATAGCCTATCTTAATGCCATTTCCCACGAGCTTCTTGGAAGCCCCTTGTACATAATGAAATCACTCCTTGACTGTTCAAATTTTAACTGTTTTCCTACACTTTCAGGAGGCGATAGAGTTGCTGTGTGATGTTTGACATGCCCATTTAACTCGCCCCTTAGGTGATCACTCGGAATGAACTGATGCTGGAAGAGACTAGAAACACCATCACAGTCCCAGCTTCGTTCATGTTGAGGATGTTGGCGTCCCTGAATCACATCCGCGCTGGTAAGAGCACCCGTCAGCTCCTCGTGTCATGGTGATTTTTGAAAAGCATGTTGCTGCCCCACATCCATGTTAGCTTGCTTCCTGCATGGACCTGGAGGGGACCTGTCCCTTTCTGAATTCTGAACGAGTGACTAGACTTGGAGTCAGCTTCTCTCTGAATGCTCCGCAGAAGAAAAGGCCACTCGTAAGCCCCAGGAGTTTGGTGGTGGTTATTGGGAGTTTGTAAATGGTCGCTGTGATAATTGCTTCTTTTACGGGTCTTAACATGTCCTGCCTCAGATCGTTTACGTAAGTAATGTTTCTAGAAATTGGCCCATTTCTTCCAGGAGTCCTGTTTTCCATAGTATTCCATTACTCTTCTTTTGCTCTCCAGTGGGGGGCTGTGGTCTGCCATCTGCCTAGTCCCGGCCTTGTCTTCTGTCAGTTTACCAGTGATTTTTCAATTTCATGAGACCTTTCAAAGAACCAACTTCTCATTTTATGAATTCTCTCTATTTTTCTGTTTTCGGTTTCATTTGTTTCTACCCTAATGATGAAATAAATAGTAGGAAGAACAAGGTTTTTTAAAAAATAGAAAGAAATACATGGAAACAAAATATAAGGGTAATAAAAGAAAATAAAAATGAAATCTGTATTAGCTCCCAATAAAATCGTTTTGAAGACGTAAAAATGAAATTAAAAATATAGTCCTCAAAGGCCAATTTATAGCAATAAATCCTTATATTTAAAAAAGAAAAACATGTATAAATAGTTTAAACTAGCAGCTCCAAAAATTAGAAAAAGAAAAGCGGGGGTGCGAAATCCCATGGTCACCGACAGAAAGGAAGTGATAAACACGAGGGGGAAACAGATGAGTCGTTCCGTTCCTGCTCCCCCAGCGCCTCAGTCCAGCCTGCCTTCCTGCACGCCCCTTCCTGGGAGCTAGCTCCGGCTCTCACTCCCTTTGCTCAGGGTTTGTCAGCACTGTGTCTCGGTTTACTGGAGATTCTGTGAAGTTTCTCAAAAGAGCCGTGCTGTGTCAGGTCAGATGGGATGACCCATCCCTTCTGAATATCTCCCTATTCACTGCTTTCCATCAATTTCTTCTTCCACCTGGTATTTGAGTAACTTCTTGATCCTTCTATTGCTCGATGACCCAGGATTACCATCCGTATCTGGTCTACTTGGTCTCTCAGGTCTTCACTGTAGAGGGGCTGTGCGCCATCGGCCTTGATCACCATCTTCACTCCTCCCTTTTTTACTTTCTGAAGAAATCCAATAGTTATTGGAATAAAACCTGGAAAATAGAGTATTTTTGTGGAATCCTGGTTTTCTTTGGGGATTTTTTTTTTTAACTTATCCTTCCTGTCCACCTACCCCCACTCCCCAATTTATGTCTTAGGTAAGACGATTTAATTTCTTCATACTTTCCCCATTCTCTGAAGGAGCATTTCTAACAGAGAAGAAAGGAACCTTTTCATACATTTAAATCCTATTTACAAAGCAGTTTTGTCTTATATACCTTTGAAACACTGACTATAAAAATGATGGTATTTTCATTTGAAACACACACACGATAAATCTCCTTGACTGTCATTTCCCACCAGAAATTCCTTAAAGTATTGAACTGCTTTGCCAGTTTCACCCCTCCAGTAGCCCTTGTGAACAATTTTCTCTAGAATCTACTCTCAGAAATTGAGTTGACATTCCCAGAGATCGCTCTGCAGCAGCTGAACGAGTTGAATTTCATGAATGAACAGCTCTTTTGCCCTCCTCACTCCAGAAGCCATTGTCATTGATTTTGTGACATAGGAGGGGCTTCATGCCTCCAAAAGAAAAAAGTTCATGCAAAAATGGAATTAAAAGATTATGGATCTTTCCCACAATCTTTTTATTTTATTTATTTATATATTTATTTTTTAATCATTTTATTGGGGGCTCTTACAGCTCTTATAGCAAACCATGTATGAATTGTATCAATCACACTTGTCCCACATCTTTTTGAAGTTTCCGAAATATTGTAAGAGTCTATTGGCCGTCATATATCTCTCTGTGTCTGGCTTTGGACTCTGCCTTTAGTGTCTACTTAACCTTCTGTTTTCTTGTTTCATTTATAGTGTGATAACCAAAATAAATTTGGGCGAGAAGCCTACAAATTGTAAAATAGGGTGACAGTACTTTCTCATGTGCCACTGATAAGACTGACAAACACTTGACACATTTATGACAGTAATATTAAAAAAATACATCCAACTATTTTGGACATTAGTGGCTGATGTGTAGAAATAATTAATCCCAGTATGCAAGGCCAGAGGAAGGCTGACTGTGGTAGTCAAGGTTGTCTGTCAACTTGGCCCTGGGTCAGGATTCTTCAGTAGTTTTACAGTTACATAGTGATGTAATTTGACAGTTAGGAAATGATGTAGTCATCCTCCATTTTTTTGCGGAACACCGATTTTAGCATTCCAACCTGGTCTTTAAAAACTGTCTCAATATGTTAGAAGTGGACGTAGTCCATCATGTTCAGGATTCCCACTATGATAAAATACTGAAGTAGAGTGGGCACTTCATCTTTTGTTCTCATATAACATGGTACAAATTTTGGAATCTCTGTATACTAATACCCCTGGTGTGGCTGTACACTGGTCAGAAATCCACCCACTTTGTTTTAATTACTTAATGATCTGTGAACATCTATTTGAACCTATTTTGCTCATTTATTTTACAAATGTGTATTGTATAATAATAGTTAAACTTTTTATCATTTGGATCATAAGTCATATACACATACATTAGGTTATTAATTCCTTAAGCAATTGGTGTTAGTAGGCATGCAGTTGATCCTGGTTGTGTCCATCTTGTTTCTCAGAGACCGAAATTATTATTGCATAACTCCTTTCATATTTATTTGAATGCAACTAAATTATCTGCATTTTGAATGAAATCAGTATATTGATTTTATAAAACCAAATAGTAAACAGAGTTTCACACTGGAATTAAGTCAGCATGTGAACAAGCCAAGCCCTTTGCTACTGAGTCCATTCGGACTCATGTCAGCCCGCAGTGCGCAGTAGAACGGCCCCAGGGGGTTCCTAGATGGTAAGTCTTTACAGAAGCAGAATGTCACCTCTTTCCCTTGTGGAGAGCCTGGTGTTTCAATCCTACATCCCCAGTGCTCCTTGAAGTCACCGGATTCACTGCCATCAAGGCGATTCTGACTCATAGCAGCCCTATAGAGGGTTTCTGAGGCTATAAATCTTTACAGGTGCATATTAGTCTTACCTTTCTCCAGAAGAGTGGTTGGTGGGTTTGAACTGCCAACCTCATAGTTGGCATTCTCCACTCACCTGACAGCACCACCAGGCTCCCGCTGTGAGCAGCTTGTGAGACCATATCGTACCTCCTTTGGCTTCCCTACTGCCAAGAGCCAGGAGACCAGGCATTGCCTTTACCCTTCATCCTCCTTTACCTTGTTCTGACACCAACCAGTCCTCCCATGGCACTCTACTTCTAAGCTGGGTTTCATAATTCATTGCAGTGGCCACAGACAAAATTCATGATTAAGAAGGCTTATTTAGGGGCACTAGCAGCCTACTAGAAGTCAGGATCTGTAAACAGTATGACTACAGCCTTTGGTCCACAGCAACCCCTCTCCTCAGCCAGCAGCCAGTCTCTCTCTGGTCTTCAGTTTCTCAGCCACGTGGTCCCTCGGCCTCTTTCTCTGGACCAGAAATCCTGCCTCTAACTCTGTCTCACAGCCCCATAGTCTCGGTGCTGCTCCTCTGTCTCTCTGTCCCATAGTCCCTGGTACAGCTGATGTCAGCCACCACCATTTCCAACAGAAATCTCAAACTTGCTCTTCCGATGGCCCTGGGAATTCTCTCTCCCTGCTTCTTAGATGGCTCTTAAATGGAGTCGTGGCTTGGTTCTTTCAGGAGATCACACCCCCAAGGAAAACGAAAGATTGTGGCTGAAGTTGCGCCTTGTACTAGGAGTCTAAGATACATCCCACCCTAATCCTGTACCAGAGCACTCCCTCCAAAACGGGGTTATAGCCACAGGCTTGAAATATATCACATCAGGAATTTTATGGCTAGAAGGGCCATATTAATTGACTGCATCTCAGCTTCTGAAGCTAGTATTGGGGTGGCTTTATTTCATTCAATTGGACCATTAATGACATACTCCCTTTTGTATGCTATGCCTCGTGTCCATTGACTTAGGATACAATCGGAGTGCGTATGCCTCCGTGGATAACACATAAAACCTCACCATTCAGCAGGGGGAGTGAGCGCTTTCCCTGTATCTAACTGTAATATTTTCCAGAAAGGTGCTTTTCTAGGAACTACAGTGATTTATGCTGCTGTCTTTTCACACCCGAGTATAATCTTCTCATAATAAATTTCACATTTATTTATTCCATAAACTTTCATTGAACATCCTCTAGCAAGCTCCTAACCTATAAAAGTAACAGACATAACTCTGTCCTCCAAGAGTTCACCGTCTAGTCTTCAAGAAGACACACCAATCGTTATGAAAATTATGATCATTACTCGGGGCTCGTAAAAGCTACCCCAGAGTGTGGCGGGAATTAATGATTCTGCAGCCTGGGTGTTGGAAGAACTCACAGGAACATCTCACCACAGGGTTCATGTTTCCATGAAGACAAATGAGCAGATACTTGCCTAGCTGAAGAAGTGGGTGCCATGTCCCAAGCAGAAGAACAGCCAACCCAAATCATGAAACCTTGAGAGAGCATGCTGTGCTCCCAGGTTGGCTTGAGCCTTCGGGGCTGGATGAGCACGTCTGGAGTTGAGCCTTGTCATTGTGTGCACTTAAGGGTTCAGTCCGGTTACGCTGAGCTCTCCCCACGGAGTGGATGACTCCGTGGCTGCTGAGCACAGGCAGCAGTTCTAACTCCCCAGCTGCTCCCTGGGAAGAAGACGAGGCTTGCTCCTCTTGTCAAGACTCGGTCTCAGAGACCCACAGAGGCAGTCCTCCCCGATCTCTCGGGCTGCCCTTCTGAGTCCGAATCAACTCGATGCAGCAAGTTTGGGGTTTGTTTGTTTGAGCTTAGGTAAGCTACTTCTAGATGGAGAACACACGTTTACTTGATCACCTTTTATCCTCAGTAGTTGACACTGTGCCTGGAACTTATTCGGCATTTTGCTGAAGATGTCTTGACAGAATTACACAGCTCAAGGTGCACCCCGGATTCTGTGTCATGCCATCTGTCCCGGGTGGCACCTGATACAACTCCTTAGGACCCACATGCCAAGATGTTTAGGTTGTGTGTGTTTTAGAGTCCTAAGCCTATTCATAGCTAATGGTGCCGTGCTTCTTACTTACTGTCACCAGGAGTTTGGGCCAACTCAACATTGACTTACATATTAAACAGATAAAAAATAACTTACCTACCACACTGTGCTGTGCAGTATTTAAGTAGTGGTGTGTTGTATATATTTTAATCATTTGATATGAAAAGGCTTCGAAGGTCATTATACTGGTAATGGTCAAAGTATTTCTTCTGGTGATTCCTATACCCATGTTTTCCAGACCGGTTGGAGGGTGACAGATCCGAAGGCTCTGGCCAGGAGAATGAAAATGAGGATGAAGAGTAGTCAACTCTTGTTGGCAAGCACGTAAATGTTCTGGAATTTGTATCAGGCATTGATCCTATTTTGTCCTTTACAGAGCTTTAGTGCAATTTTAAGGTTTGGGGTTTTTGGAGTTTTTCCCTTTTTATGGGACAACCTAACATTGGTTTGGAACAATTGTGTGCATGGATTTGGGAGCGTGTGTAAAACAAATTTAGCAAAATGTTTTAAACCCTTTTGCCGTGAATGAGGAGTGCTAGAAGATGCAACGTGCAATAGCTCCTCGCCTTCAGAGGAGCCGCGTGGCCACTGTGGAAGAGTACTTTCCTGATCGTGACCATGGGGGTTCCGGTGACTTTCTATACTTGCCCATTTGCATGTTTGTTGCTTTCTAATTAAAGAAATTGGTTGTTTTAAGACATCCTGCATTTGACTCTTTCTTTATGACTGGCTTTTGCCACCCGGCTGCTTTGGCCCCGGTTTTCCCAATCTGTTCTGTTATTAACGAGGCCCGCCCTTCTCTGGTCTCTAGATTTTGTAACCTTTTCCCATTGTGACTTCTGTGTGAGAGGCTCTCACAGAAAGGCCTTTTTAAAATTTTTCCTTCCCAAGTGCTCTGTCTTCACCTCCAATCTTGAGCTGAGACCTTCTCGATGTGAGGTAGCCGTACCTGGTTACAAAGGACGGGGTCAGGCTTCAAGCCTAAATCACTGAGGGCAGCGTGGCGAACTCATGTACTGGACACAGCGCAGCACCTTTCTAAGGCTTCTGACGAGCAGTTCCCCTCTCCACCATTGGATCTCAACAGAAAGCTGTGGGCACCGTTTCTAACTCCTGATCATCCCCAGCCCGTGTCCATCTGCATTCAGCACGCACACCCAGCCTCCCCTTCAATTGTGACCCTAACTGTTCCTGTAGACCTAGCCCCCTCCTACATACTCACTGATGCTGTCTTTCCCCCGTCTACACAGTTGTCCATGTTTCAGATCAATTCACAAAATAACAGTTTGATACTCGATTATTTTCAGTGTACAGTGTATATATATTCCTAGTACTCTTCCTCCTGTCACCCAGGTGAGCACACGACACATCTGTGGCTTCCCCTTGCTGCTTCCCTGGTGCCGAGCCTCTGTCAGAAGCTCACGGTACCTTAGCGGTCATTTTCTGTGGTCCAGGAGGAGAATTTCACAGGTATTTTATGGTCACTTCTGCTTCCAAGCACACGCATGTGTACACACACACACACACACACACAGCATTTGCTGTCAGTCTCTGAGTGACACATCAATTCTTCCTTTTGTAAGAGTGGCCTTTGGAATCGGGAATGTCACTCGGAGTGCTCCTAGAAACTGTCTCCCTTCGTGGCAGCAGCTCACCCCAGCAGCTTCCCTCTGGCCTGACTGCCAGCCAGGGACAATATTCATCGACCTCCTTGCCAGCCAGTAACTGGAGAAGACATTGCACTGACATACCTGGCTCAGTCATTTAATGGATTTTGAGACTCATCCAGTGCTGGCAAAATTTGAACACTGAGGTAGGTAGTTTATTGTGCCAACCTGGTTGATAAACACGTGGGGTTTATTGAAGGGCACAGCGATAAATGGCTCAGTGAATCTCACCTTTCTAGTTCTCGGGTCTCTAGCTTTCTGATGGCCGGAACAGGGTGCAGCTGCCTTAGCCAGTTCCCTGCTTCAGCTGGCAGGGCTCACTTCCTGCAAGACATCTCTAAGAAGAAGCCACATGGACCTACCCTGCTGCAGCCCTGTGTGTGCTGGAGCACCCATGTGGAGACCCCTGCCGGCGCTGAGATACTTACACATTCACTGACTCAGCTTTCCTCCTGCAGTCTCCATCATTGTGTGTGTGTGTTGTGAGATGGAGGACTTTGTGGATTGGTGTTGGACATATGGATTAATGGGTTAATGTTGACTTGTGGGCTTGGGCAGCACTGGGTTGGAATGTTTTCTTGATGTGCACTTAACCTTTATATAAAACTCTTATACATGAGTTTCTGTGGATTTCTCTAAAGTACCTAGACAAGCACAGACACTGACACAAGGTCAGTACCATGTGACACCCCAACCCCTTCCCCATCCACTGTCTTCCCCCCCCCACACACACACACACACACACATCTCTTGCCAGACCAGCAGTAACTGCAACTTTGGCTAAAAGACACTGCTAAGGACACAAATCTGGTGGTTTGCCGGGGGCATGTGGGCCCCTCTCTTGATGCTTTTGGGTTTTGCTGAAACAGCTGCCTTAAAAAAACTTTTTTTTTTTTAAGGCAATACATGTCACATTTAGTTGCCTGCTAGGGGGAACGTTCCTCTTATTTTCAGAAACTCAAATAGCCTGGTTGGAGGGCCGAAGACAGATACTAAGACTAAGGCATATGCCTTCTCTGCTAGGCTGTGAAGACTCCCAGGTACAGCCAAGCAGCATCCCCATACTGTGTGTAGACCAGGAGTTTCTGCAAGGTGGCTGCAAGCCTGGTCGCCTGCTCTTCTGTAAGAAGGCAGGGCAGCTCTTAGAAACTGGCCTGCTCAGTTTACCCATTCCCATTGAACTTTGATTTCTAGGTTTTACCCTAGACAAGAGCATGTATGTATCCATATTGAGGATACTGGAACATGTCCAAAGGGGTCAAGAATCCGAATTGTTTCTGGTTTCCAAAGTCATGTAACCTGGTCAAGCTGCCTTCTCCGGCCTTCTGTTTCTTCCTCTTTAACCTTAGAGTGATCCTATGGGTCAACCTGTCGTAGAGGCTGTATGAGGGCCACGTGAACCCATGGAGGTTGCAGGGCCTTCCAGAGAGACCGCTGTAAGTTTACAGTGCTTGTAAGTCTTCCCGGGGAGCAGCAGTCACGGTGTGGACAGGGTGCAGTGGAGTGTTGGGCAGAGTAATGGAATGACTGGCAGAAAAAGCAAGAATACGACCAAGATGGGATGTGTCAAAGGCTCTGGAGATTTGGCCACTTGATGCTCTTTATAACTCGGGCACAAGGCAGGCCAGGTGAGCATCTGGGAGGCAGACAGCAAAGAGAAAACCTACAGGTTGCCCAGGCCTCACCCTGGCCAGAAGCTCCCACAGGAAGATGGTGGAGCAGCTGTGGAGTTGACACTGCTCAAGAATCCCTGGGGCTGAGTAGGAGGTACAAATACAGCGCCCAGGTGAGCACCAGATTGCAGCTCATCAAAACAATGGTCCCAGGTTAACAGCCACAGCAGCTCCTCCAGTCAGGCTGGCCAACCAAACTGCCAAAAAGCAAGCTGTCATACAGCAGTTGCTGCAAGACAGGGTCACTCAAGGAGATGGACACGCCACTAGAGACGACGCCCGCATTCTGCTGAAGGATCTGAATTCCCACCTGGAAGACAAAGTTTGCCTTATGGGCTATAACTTCACCTTAGCCGATAACCTGTCATACTATGGACTTCACCGCTTTATAGTTGGCCTGACAGTTCAACAAAAGGAGAAACAGCTTAAAGTTGGTTTTAACCACATTCAGCCTTAGTCAGGTATCAAGCAACATCCGCCTAGTGTTGGCCTCATCAAGTACAAGCTGTATGCCAGTTCCCATTAGCAGATTCCCAGGCCGTACAGAAGAGTTATTAAAACATTTCAAGTGAAAAAAGGTGTTCTGGACCAAAGGACTAACAAACTGATAGACAGCTGTGATTTGTTGACAGGAGCTTAAATTTTAAAGTGTACACTTGTATTTGAATGTTTTACTTGTTCTTTAGTTGAAATTTTGCAGTTATGTGATTTCCAGAAAAAAGGAGTGATGTCAGTGCTGGTAGGTGAGGGGGTCTGGTAGGTAGGTTTGTGGACCGAGATGGTTCCAAGGCTCAGAATCTTCAACTCACGCAGTGTGGTTGTACTTTAGAGCGTGTGTCTGTGCGTGCATCACACACCTGCGCAACACCAACAGCGGATCTTCAAATGTGGAGTGCTTTGCATAGCTTGGCTGTGCTAAGTTGGCCGTTTAATAATTCTGTGCAAGCCGCATGGGGAAATTTATGACAACTGCAGGGAATTTTACCCAGATGACTTTAGCATGGGCAACAACCAAACACGTGTGCACACATGTCCGCCGCTATACACATACCAAAAACATTTAATCCGATCAACAAAACTATTCTAAATACAATTTTCCTTGCTTATAAATATTGACTCATAATAATCCTAAAACATTTTTCTTTCAAAATCTGAAAACTTCAAGTTAAATATATTTCTGGATTTAGCTTGTCTTTTAACCACTTCTGCATCCAGCGGTCTGTGACCAGAACACAGCATTGGCTGACGGACCTGTCTGTTCCCAGTCGGCTGGCTGTTTTCTCCGACCCGCCAGCTTGGCCTTGCCAGCCCAGGCCCCTTAGTGTGCTGGGTCTGTGTGCTCCTCTGGGAGGAGCTGACTCGCCCAGTATTTGTGATACTTCCAAGTGGTGCTGTCGAACGGAAAACAGAAGGGGTTTCTAATTCCTGTTAGGTATACTGCTCAGGAAAATACTTTTGGATGGAATGAGCACAGCGTACTGTGTTCTCCTAAGAATAACACTGAGAAGCCCTAGAACATGGTCAGTTACATGTTGGTCTGCTAACTGCAAGGTCAGCAGTTTGAAACCACCAACCGCTCCTTGGGAGAAAGACGAGGCTTCCTACTCCTATAAAGAATTAAGTCTCAGAAACCCGCAGGGGTAATTCTTCCCTGTCCTATTGGGTTGCTATGAGTCGGTAACAACTCAGTGACCGTGAGTTTTATTTTTGAAGCACACTGACCAATATTGTGCTCTTGGTAATCTTGTGCTGACTTGAGTTTGTGCTTTGAACTCATCCCAATGGATCCCGTCGCTTTCCTTGGGCCTCGTGGGTTTTGTCTTGCATATGGTCGCTTTTAGGTCTTGCTAACAGATCATTTTCCTGTCTCCCAAGCTCCACAGTTTACACTACTACTTTCTACCTAGAGAAGTCTATAGCGCACCTTCTGAAAATGATGTTTTGAACCTTCCTTGGGCTGCATAGCCAAGACCTGGGGTTTGACCCTGACCCAGGTGGCCTTGCTCAACTGAGAGACCTTGACAAGTCACTTCCCTTCCCAGGGCCTCCCAGATTCTGTGAGCACAGCTCACACACGATTGTGCTCTCACATACAGTGGTAGCCACCTCTTCCTGCATCACACATGTATCATGGTCTCACGTTCCTTTAACTCAGCAAAGGCACGCCCGTGGTTGCAGGGCAGTTGACTTGGCACTCAGTACACATCAGGGCAGAACAAACATGCCTTTGGGGTTGTAAGGCTGAAGCCAGAACTTAAATATCAAACTGTGTGCTATTCCCAACAAGTCCCCAATGTGATGCCTGGCATACTGTAGGCGCTCAATAAATGTCAGTTCCCTGCCACCATTACACTTGTAGTTCCCGGTAGCTCAGTGAGATCTCAGGAGCATAAAGGAGCTCACACTTCAATCTAAGTAGGCCAGGACTGCTCATTGTATTCAAACACAGTCCCTCCCTCCCCAGGCCCTGCTCACTAGCTGGGTTCTGGCTGCTCCATCACTGAGAGCCAAAGACCAGAGAGGTTCCTTGCTCTTAGACTCTCCAACCCTCTTAATGTCATACAGGTGAGTAGCAGCAACACCTGTGAGCTTAAAGTGGGGTCCCACACGTTAGCAGAGATGCAGTGTCCTCTACAGGCTGGGGGCTGCAGCTCCGAAGAGTTAGAGCTCTCCACTTGTAGGAAGTGCGTCACAACCACACGGCTGTCCCCAGCCCTCAGTACAGGTGGTGGGTGTGGTCAGGGCGCAAGGGCTGCAGTGTTGAGGTGTGCACTGTAGTGTGGGACTCAGCCCTGAGGGACATCCTGTCAAAACCTAGTCACAACATTGAGATATTTTCCACCCACGAGTGGCCACACGTCTCACCTGCCTCTGTCCACGAGGGGACTCAGGAAGGCCTTGGCCTACATTGGCTAATGAGCTTGGGAGCTGTGGGGACAGCTAGGGACTTTGACCTCGTCCAATGAGAGCAAATGTCCCGAGAAGCTGCCTCAGAAACTTGATGTATGCAGATCATCCCCCTCCTCCGGCTTTCCACTCCTGGGGAGTTAGTATCAGAAACCCAGAGGCAGTTCTACCCTGATTTACAGGGTCACTGAGTCCAGGGCAGTGAGCTTAGTGGGCCCTTCGCAGTCTTGCTGAATGAAGGCAGATGTAAATCCTAGAATACGCAAAATGTGTTCAGATCACCACCTGAATCATGGAGTTCTCTCAACTCCTGAGGGGGGTATGCCCAGCTCTTCTCTGTGGTCACCTGTAATAATGGGGGTCCTCCAGGCCTCTCCCCTAAATCAGTATAAACACTAGTGCTCATGCACATGGGGCCGAGCTTGGGGCTTGGCACAGGGTTGATAGGCAGTGAGGACAGGTGAGCAAATAAATGAGCCTCAGTGGAATATTGGGAAAGAAAGGTGAATTCTTTAAAAAAAATTTTTTTTTCTATTAGAAAATCAAGGGCCTCTCTCAGCTGGCCTCTGATCAGGGTTCTTTCCCATGGAAGACATTCTGGAACCCTTGGTTTCCATGCCAACCTGCCTCATGCAACTGCTAACCTTCCCCAGGTTGTTCTGACCCTGAGCGTGTGTCTAACCTGAGCTCCTTCTGTGCCCGTACTTGATCAGGAGAATGGTCCCTCTAGAAACTAGGCAAGTGCCAGAAAAATGCCTGTCTACTAGACTACACAGGACAGACACCCCAAGATAAGGAACCACCTCCCCACTCAGCAGTAGGAGGAGAATGTCTGACCCGCATAGTTCCCCACCAGAAGCCACCAGTGAAGCCATCCTCAGCAACTCTAGAGAAGCCCCTAGCACCCCCCGCCAAACTCGAGGGCAGGGCCCGGTCCCTAGCCGACAAGACTCACTGTCGTTGCATTCCATCACCGTGAAGATGGGAGAGACCCAGGCCACTGTCCACAGTGGGCCAACCATTGGTTTCGGCTCCACAGCAAAAGGACGGTGCCCTCCGCAGCCCCCAAAGGGGAGAGGGCGAGCTGCTCCCACGCCAATTTTAATTCCTGCTGCTCCACTTCCACCTCTGAGGGAGGTGTCCTTCTTCCCCCAAGATGGAACTTGGGGCCCGGCATTCCATCGGGAGTGCTTTAAACGGCTCAGACACAGACCCGACCCCAATAAGGGATGACATTCAACTTGACAGCGGTGTGGGTCAGTGGGTCCACTCTTCCTCTCTCTCCAAAGTCAGAGAACACCCAAGATCAGAGCTGGAAGCCACAATTCAATCCAGCTCCTCACCACCTCCTCTCCCACACCCAGTCTCAAAGGCCCGAGGCGGGGCGGGGCTGAGAGCTCTCGATTGTGGCCTACCCTGTGGTGCCCTGGTTGGACGAACAGTCACTGCTGGACGTCGGAAATGCCCTCGGAAATGACACTCATCGCATCACAAATAGGCTCTACTCCACCAGGCCTTCCTGTGGGGTGTCCTCCCACGGGAACAATACTCCCTGGCTACCTTAGCACCTCCCCATTCAGGCTTGGTAAAACAGTGCTGTGTCCTATGCACAGGGGTTTTGCTTTTTCCTTTAATTTTGAAAAGGAAACATCTGATACCTGCCCCTCCCTCCTGTCTTTTATAGTGGTTTTGCCTTTGAAATACCAAGTGTCTGCAGGGGAGGCGGGAGGGGGGCACTGGGCCCTGTCCTCTGCAGCCTAGCCCCAGGCCCGGTGCCTTTGCCCTGTGAGCTGCCCCAACCCGTGCCAGCAGTTGGGGCCTGGAGGCAGGAGACAAGGTGCGGGCACTCCAGGAGAGGGGCTCTGCTGCTAAGCTCGCTGTCTGGACCACAGGGTCTAGAGGTGACGCCCTCCAGCGCTACCCACGTCCACAAAGATGAGCACTCCCGGGTGCCTGGCTGGCCGGAGGATGCAGGCTGTGACAAACGAAGTGCTCAATCTCCACAGGGTTGCTCCCTCCCAGCTCCACAGCCACCTCCCACAAAGCCCAGGCCACACCCACACCCTCGACCACTTGTTCTGGTCCCAGCACTGGGATCTCAACAAAGCCCATGTGGGGTTGGACAGCAGCCACTGGAGTCACCGCTGCCACTGGGCACAGTTCCCAGTCCTTCGGCCAGGGGCTGCAAACCAGCTGCTGTCCCTATCCCGCGGCAGCGTCTGCATGGGCCACAGTCATGTCCACGTGCTTGTGGGGCTCCCGCACAGGCCAGCCCAGGCGCCGCGATGGGGATCATCTTCTGAACAGCTTCTCCGGCTCAGCCCCGGCCTACTGGGAGGGCCTCATCGCTGCTCCACGGCCGAGCCGTCCCCCTCTTCGATGCTCTGCAACTGGAGGCGCTGGCTTGCCAGAGTTCTGCTGCCCCGGCGGCCCCCGCAACCGGCCCCCAGGGCAGTCCGAGCTGTGAACAAGACCCCTGGCAATGCCTCCTCCCCAAACAAGTTGATTTTGGCTTCAGCCTCAATGGCTTTGGCCAAGCTGGCCGCATAACTGTCCAGGGACTTGTGCACGTCGGCTTTCACGTGAAGAACAGAGTTCTTGGCAACTTCTGAGAAAGAAGGCAAGAAACACAAAGGTTAGCCAGGGAGCCAGGACCTGCGACCATGCCAGAGCCTGCCTACTGCGGCTGCACAGCCCATGGAGAGAAGGAGAGGACTTGGGAGGGGGTGAGGCCAGACTGCCTAGGCCAACATCCTCGACTCTGAGACGTACTGCCTGGGAACTCTTAAGAGAAATGCGTTAACCCAGACTCAGGTTCCTCATCTGAGGTCAACAGGAGGTGATAATATGCCTCTGACTTCATGCCATTACTGTAATCATGAATTCCTTCCTTGATGCTTGGCCTGGGTCTGGACCACAGAAAGGACTTGATCAATACTTTCTATTCATGATCATCAAACATGTAAACACTGAAAAAGGTCTCTGGGGTCTTTTAGCTCCAAGATCGCCTGTGTACAGCAATCACAAGCCCCAAGCCATCTCTCTCCTCCCCACACACACCCAGACACTCCGAGAGTCGTGGGAACCTCAGGGTTGGAAACAACACTAAACGCTTACAAGCCCTCTCCAGGGCTAGACTTCCTCCTGACAACTAAACGCTGGCAGGCCTTCCATTTCCTACCGAGTGCCTTATCATTAAACCCGCTGCTTTTGTCTGGATAGTTGCAGGGCAGAGGGGACATTGATCCCTCACTTGTAACAATTTTTTGGAGAGAAGGTAACTCCCACCGCCAGGGAAGACTGGGCGGGAGATGTCAGGAGTCTCTGCCATGCCGCTCGCTCCTCACGGGAGAGGAAATGGGAGACGTAGGCAGGTAGACGAGCCCCTGGCCTGCTGTCCCCCTGCAACCAGGGTGCTGTCTGAGATGCTGTCCAGTAGGCTTCATGGGGCAAGCCCGGCCCCTGTGGGCTGGGGGACTAGGAGGAGCGCGATTCCTTGTTCTTCTATGGGCTAAGTAGAAAGCCCCCATGGTGCTCTGGTGGTGGTGTGGTTACGTGATAGGCTGCTAACCACGAGGTCAGCAAGCTGAAACCACCCGCGGCTCCGTGGAAGGAAGGCGGGCCTTTCGGGTCCTGTAAAGATGGCCAGCCTCAGAAATGCACAGAAGCAGTTCTACGGCAGGGCCAATGGCAGGGAGCTTGGGGTGAGTGTGAGAGCGCCGCGTGGCTGTGTGTCCACACGGTGCCGTCCTCCACTTCGTCACTAGCACAGGCCATGTGCTGGCGTCCATCTCTCTGACTTCTGAGAGTGACCGCCCCTCCATCCACCCTGAGCCTGGGGAGCGGGCAGGAGACAGGGCGCGAGGCACAAAGGGCCTGGGAACTGGCCCTGGCAGTTTCTCAACCGGACCAGGCAGCCTTCTCAGGATCGGGCCCACAGACCATCAGGACGGCCGCCTGGGCTGCCAGAAAGATGGACACACTCACTGGGCCATTCTGTCCACCTTCCACATGAGGAAGTGAGGCTCAGAGAGGACGGCTTCACAGGGATGGCCGGACATCCCTCAGAAAGGACAGGTTAACTTCGAGTTCCAGGCTCAGGAACCATGGAGAGCCCAGACCCGGTTTACCCCATCAGGCAACTCGCCGAAGCATGTGTGAATGGGGGTCTTTATTGAGTCCGCAGACAGCGCCTGCGCTGAGAGGGGGAGTGCTGACGCAAGAGTCCTTCCTCTCCCCTCTGCCTCTCTGAAGCAGTCACTGGCGG